TACGTCCATATATAAAAAAAACAAAACATTTCCGTTAGAATTTTACTGAAAAACATTGATTAATGAGACAAAATCAGAGTCATTCTTTTCTATTCTCAAAGACTCTTTTAAAAATTGAGGTAACCAAACTTTGGTGGCCATTTTCTCACCAATTTCATCACTGACACCAAGCGACCTCACTTCCTTCAATCGCAAATATCTTTGTTCTATTCAAGATAGATAGGTATTTATTTAATCATTGACAGCAAAGCAAATAAATCAGCGTTCCGATGATTCCAATAACTCTACATGCCCAAAAAATTGACGAGCGCCTTATTCCACCGCTTCGTGACACATTAAAGTCTGTGGATTGGTCGAGGACTGCACGAGCACATAGAGAGTTAACGCCTAAATAAGGAGTGATCCTCACGCCAAGGGTTGTCTGGACGGTGAATTGTGTGGACGTGAGCCGAGAAATGAAGGAATTAAGTGTATGCGTGCGAGGCGATGAGTGAATGTGCGCATGTGGGGTTGTGTGGGTGTGTGTGTGTGTGTGTGTGTGTGTGTGTGTGTGTGAGTGCGCCGTGCCTGAGAGCTGAGAGTGCTTGTGTTTTCAGGGAGAAGATCGGGCTGGGCGTAGAGTGGTCATTTTCTAGAAGGGTATTGGACTTGAACGAGGTTTAGCGTAAACACGGAGTAATCTCCGCTTGTCGGATTGTCTGAGAGCAGGATTGGGAGGCGGGTACTGGGAGAAATGGACTGTGCACAAGCGTGAGGGGAACAGGGGAAGTCGTCCGATTGGGATCCCGCGGAGGGCCACTACTTTTTAGAGGGTTGAATAAGCGGGCAGGGCAGAAGATTCCAGTCAGTTTGTGGGATCAAGGTCTTTGGCGTTGCAGACACCATCATTCTGAATGGGAACTCTGATACCCGATTTAGACCCGCAGTTCGCGAGATGAGAAAGGGGGGAAGAAATAAATGAAAGCAGCAAAGCTACATTTCAGACGATTATGTAGTAAACGCGCGGGCTCGCAGTCGATCGCTTGTGGCGTTAACGGTGGGATTAAGGGTTTTGGTGATAGGTCAAGATCGAGACGCCCGTGCAGCAGTAGGGGGAAGCCTATGGTTTTATTTGTTATGTTTGTTTGCTTGATGGTATTTTTATCTTTTCTTCTTTTTTTGTTTTTGGTTTCATTTAGTTTGATGGTTTTCTATTTCTATCCATTCTCTTATTTATTTATGTATTCATAATATTTATGGTATTTCAGCCCTTTGGAAGGGTGCGTCTCTGTGGCAGGGTCGTTGGTGACGCATGAGGAAGACGCAATGAAACGAAGATTGGGGAAAGGAAAGGAGATTGTCTGAAGAAAATTTAATACCACACGTGCGTTTGTTCATTGTGTGCAGACTTATGTATATATTTTTTATTATTTTTTTTAGTTATTATTATTTTTTTTAACGATCACAGATGTTGATATATATGTTCCCGTCACTGCTGCTAGCCTTGCTACAGCGTTCTGTCTTTGGCTGTACAGGTGATTGCCTAGCACAGGTGAACATTAAGGCAAGTTCAGCTATAGTTGTTGTTATTGGGTCTAAAGAAGACCCCGCCTCCGCTTCCCCTTTCTCCTCCCCATCCCGCCCTCCCTTCCCCAACCCCAAGACTGAAAAAAATGTCAAAGAACACACGCATAGGCACAAATCAAAGCAATCCAAAGAACAAAGAAACAAAAAGTACTTACTTCACAGCCAGACTGCAGGAATTGTTTCTTTTTTTCCTGTTCTGAAAAAAAAAAGAAAACAAGTTTCGTTATAAGCGATGTAAACCCAAAAACGACCCATGCTCACTGAGAGTTACTTAACTTAGTTGTTTTAAATATTGAAGTGGAAACTTGTATTTCCACCCTAGACACAATATATACATTAATTTTTATAAAGAACACTTTACTTTTTTCGAGGTATCCTTCCTTGGGAAAAAAATATCACCGGAAGGAAAAGAAAAAAGCTTTAGCTCGATCGAAATCGAACCCCAAGAATTCAATTTTTAGGCCGAACTCATTCACTGAACTATACCACATTTTTTTAATACTGGTCTCTGATTTCGTCTGAAGGGTGTGTCTAACATTCTATTAGACTGGTATCAATGGTGTAGATGTTAGGCACTTTGTCATCGGAGGCACAAGACCCCAGTCCGATCCCAGAGTGGAAAGGTTATCTTTGTCGTGTCTTCGCCATCGTGTCTCTCCGCCTATGTGCTAGATAGGACGTTGTACAATGTATTTCTGTTCTGGTCTTGACACACAGGGTCAAATTTATCTGCCTACAAAATTGTATAAAGTGGGCTGATGGGGGCGTAAAAACTCTACAATTACATTACTATAATAATATTTACTTAACCCTGGGAAGGACGCTTTGCAGGAAGAAGCAGAGACGTACATCGGAAGGACGGAGAGAGGCTGTTCCTCAGTCGTGACTGAACCCCAGTCATCACGACCAGTATGGCTATAAGCACAGTATCTATCTGGAAATGTCCCCGACGAAGATAGACCAATCAAACTGCTTTATGCCTCTGGACCAAGTAAAACAATCTGAGGGGTTACAGGGGGGCACACGCCACTGTTTTAACCCATACGTTGATATTTCGCTGTTATTTTTTACATTTTCTTGAAAATAATTGATTTGCGACAGTTTTAGTAGCTATGTGTGTAACCTGCAGCAAACAATACGCAGTTTGGCCCCTTAAAGTGGTGCGTCTGTGTGCGGAAGTGCGACTCCGTATATTGTCTGGGTGCTCGCAGGACCGTCTCCGAATATCTTCTGCTGGCTATAAGGTTCGCCGGTCTAATGAACCACGGGCGTTAGTGTTTGGTTTAGGGTGATGGAAATGCTCAATGGTGATTTTAGTTTTTGTAAGAAATGTACGGCACTTGCAACACAAATAGGTCATATAAATCCTGAAGGTTAGAAGAGTTACTGGAAAGTAATGTACAACAAAGGGGGGTGGGGAGAGAGATCTCAGGCAAGTAGGGAAAGAAGGAGCAAAATTAGAGTACCTGTCAATCACCCACGCGAACTGACGCTCTACTAAAGAAATAAATATTAAGTCTAAAGAAAAACAAAAACCTGTAACTTATGGGGTAGGTCCAAAAAGTAAAAAAGTTGTTCCCGAATCCGTTCCGGATATTGGGGATTGCCTTGTTAGTGAGACAACTTCCTGGGCTTTCGACGTAATATTGTGGTAGGATGACCATTTCCTTTCCATGCCGCTTTTACTTCCATAACTCCAAGTCAGGTACTCATCCCTGCTAAGTGGGCAGGAGGGGGCGAAAAAAATCCGTGCCCAAACTGAGGCTCGAACCAGGACTTTCCGCTTTGGAAACGAGCGCACTACCCGCTTGGCTACCACACCGCAAACAACCTTGAAATTGTACATGTGTTATGTATTATGAACATGGGTTGGATCCTTTAGGGGGCAGACTGCTCTCTCGGGCACTATTGCATACACACAAGTCATTTTTGGCGGCCTTTCAGATACGTCTGTTTGCCATACTGCCCGCGTCCCGCCTGCTATTATAAAGATGGAGTAAGATAGATACATCATCCCAGCAGACAGACTGAGAAACTCAATAAAATAACCTCCCCACAAGGAAATCGAAAATACGTATCCATCACGTGAGAGCGAAGCCTCTAACTACAACATCATAGACGACGGTGAGTGTGCAGAAAACCAGTTGTAGTCACTGTGGGATGAGAGTTTCAAAAAGAGCTTTTTGGATATCAATATTACATGCTTTTTCATCCCTGCTTAACATATTAGTACGTGGTACGACGCTGTGGAATCAGGCGCTTGTCAATTTTTTGGGAAAGTGGAGTTATTGATTTGATATCATCTGAAACCTTCTTCATTTGCTTTTATTCTAAAGAAATAAATATCCATCTATCTGAAGTACAAGTCCAAATATTTTCTATTGAAGGAGGTGAGGTCGCCTGGCTTCAGTGGAGAAATTAGGGTGAAAAGGGCCGCCAAAGTTTGGAAACTTTAAGAGCTAAAGAGCCCTTCAAAACTGAAAAATGACATATTTTGTGCCTCTATTCAATGTTTTTCAGTAAAAATTCACGAGGAAATGAGTTTTTATGTGGACATAAAAGTGTTGAGCAAAAAGTAAAAATCCGATAATATCTTCCAAACTGGCGGAAAAATGACTTTTTCTCTGATTTCATTATTTTGACAAGCACCTGATTTCCCCACGATACCTAACATGTATATAAGGATGTAGTCTTTTGGAGTCATGCTCTGTAGGGGGCCGTTGTGGACAAGATCAGAGCTGTCTGGCGGCAATGTGGACACCCCATTGTGCTGTCTGCTGACAGTTGAGAACGGCAATCTCCATTCATCATTGGGGGCCACAGATCTTTTTCGCATGGCAATGAGGTGTGTATCTGTGAGTGTGGGTCTGTGTGTGTGTGTGTTTATGTGTGTGTGTGTTAGTGTATGTTTAAGTGTGTTTTTATGCGTGTTTGTGTGTGTTTGTGAGTGTGTGTTTATGTGTGAGTGTGTTTTTGTGTGTGACAGAGAAAGAGAGAGAAAAAAGAAAGAGAGAGACACAAGATAGAGAGACAGAGGGAGAGACAGAGAGAGAGAAAGAGAGAGAAAAGAAAGAGAAAGAGGGAGAGAGACAGAGCGAGAGAGAGAGAAGAAGGAGAGAGAGAGAGAGAGAGAGAGAGAGAGAGAGAGAGAGAGAGAGAGAGAATGAAATTGAAAACGGACGGCGATAAGAAATTAGTGGATTTATTGCTCATCCCAAAGCGGATCAATTAGTATTGCTATTGAATAAAACACAAGCGTGTTTATATGCACACAAAACATTTCCAGCAGATGTGAAGCAGTTGCCTCAATTTCCCGTTTACGTCAGTGTCTGTCTTCATAATTTGTTTGACATGCTTCATTTTGTTCATCTCAATTGTGTTTCTGGAGTTGTGTTTTATTTGTTTGTTTGTTTGTTTTTTGATTGTTTGTTTTTTTTCTTTTCTTGTTGTTGTTTGTTGTTTGTGATCTTTCGTGGATTTTTATTCGTTTCATTGTGGGTTTTTTTTTTCAATTTTCATCTGGAAATTTTCATTTCAATTTAAAGCGGTTGCGAAGAAATACGTAGATCTAGTGCAAGAATTGTGTTTGTTTTCAATTATATTTGTTTGCTATTGCACTCTTGGAAAATAGTGAGATCTATCAGTTTTGACTTTTGTCGTGAATGTAATACTTTAAGAATTTGTTTCGTGCAAGAACGTTTCCTTTGATGATGAAGTAGTAAGTAGGTGTCTGCACCTGTGAACTGATCACAGCACTTATTGTGAACTCATTTAGATCATTTGGTGGCTGCTGCAGACAAAAACTAGTGAAAATTTGTTTGTGAATGCTTCTAACAATATCATTCCGTTATGGTAGTTGATAACATATAGTAATTGTATATACTTTTAGTATCCTCTTTTGCCCTTTCCTTTTTCTTCGTCCTTTGCACTTAACCCAGTGCTCCCTCCCCCACCTACCCTCACCCCGGAATGAAGCATTACCATAAAGCAGTACAAACACACCAGAAACAGTCTTGACAATTGCGAACAGCAACTTTAGATCTATGACGTGTTGTTGCAAAAGGTGTGAACATAAAAGTGCACAAAGCAAGGATGCTGTTTTTCGCCTAGAGTGCAGCTGCTCTGGGTGCACTATCGTATATCCCCTCCATCCAATACATCCCCCTCCCCAAACCATCCCCCCCCACCCCACATCCCCTCCCCTCCCCCCTTTCCACCCATAGGACGGCGCCCCTGTCAGGAAACGCCCACTGCGCATTGAGCATTGAGATGAACAAATCTCCATAAATCAGAGGAGTCGTCTGATCTTTGCTCGGCCACGTCACAGCCCAGTGTTTGCTCAGGAAAACAGAGCCAGATTGCTGAGTGTACTTCCAGGGGAGACAAGCCGGATATGATTACCGTGGTGCAGATTGAGGTCGCACCCCTCCACCTGGCTGTCGCGAGAGATCTGCCCAAACACGCCACGCGGACTCAGGGGCGCGAACTCCAGGCCACTCCTGATTTCTGCTTCCACTATTCTGTCAGATCAACAGGCCCCCTTCCCTTTTGAACAAAAACAAAAACAAAACAAATACATATCACAAAAAGACCTCATTACTTATATCTTTTAGTACTGCGTCTCTATGTCTAAATTCCATTTCCTGCTTCAAAAAGTCGTTGCTATTGTTCCTATTTACGAGCCGTTTCAAATAACCAGGATTGTTTACAAGACATGACCTTGAGAGTTTCGTCCCCATCTGAACCGAGCCACACAGCCAAAGGAAAATATCAGGCACGAGTTACAGGGGAGGAGGGGGGGTTCTCCTAGTCGAAGTAAAGGCATAGGACTTGAAAAGTTTTATTACTAATTCCTCGTCTGCCCTCCTTTTCTGTATATTAATGTCTAGAAACACCTCTAATCTCTGCTGCTGGAAAGCTCGTTACAAAAGCTCGTTATAAAAGCTCATTTCAAAAATGGATATGGGGGCGTCAGTTGCCGAGTGCTTTGTGACGTCAGACTCACCGTAACGCCATTATAAATGTTGGTGACATAATGTATGTGGGTGAGTAGTCATTGCCGTGTGACCTTGAGCGAGATAATCCTTGTTCAAAAACAGGAATCTTCGCAGTGGCCACGGGCAACCAGGTATTTATTTACTTTTGAGTTGTCTTAATTAGTGGGATATTGTGCTCTTGATACGACAGAATTATATT